ACCTTTACCTGTTTACCTGTTCAAATTTGTCCTGTGTGTATTCTGTCAGCACGCGAAATTTTATTACGTAACAATAATTATTGTTTAAGGTGTAATACCACCATTGATTTTCCCCTATTAGTCTTTGTTAAATTTGCACTTTTAAAAAAATTGTGCAGAATTTATCTTTGTTTCAAATAAAGAAATACTTGGCATGAGTAAAGTTTGATCCTGTCCAGTACTATAGAAAAAATTTCACATAACATTTCATTGCATAAAGAAAATAACCATCACTGGAAGTTAACCAATCAAATTTTCCCCCTTTTTTAACCTGTGTACAAGCTTTAGTAACCATGTAACCTCAAGTTTCCAAAATATTCTATAGAAACCCCAAATAAAAAAAAAATGGTGCTTTGAAATACCCAAGATATATGTTTATGACCCAGAAATGTTTTACTGCAATGAAATGTAGGATCAATTATCTACAACTGTCAAATTCAAGGGAATATTTTTTTTCGACCTATTTTCGTATGCAACCGGATGTGACGTACTATGATTTGGTGGTATTACACCTAAAGGAGACAAGGATGGCAACTCTAGGTCTGAAGTTAAAAAAATCTTTAAGAAATTATAAAAATACTCTTGTTTGTGGATTAACAATTATAGTTGTCTTTACTTTTCTGTCCTAATATTGTACTAAAAGGTCAGGTCGAATTTCAATTATTGTTTTTTCAATGAATACGATTAAACTAATGTTCTTTAACAAGAGAAATTGGATATGTTACAGTCAGTCTTGAGAATAATGGGCAATATTAGTGAAGAATAGAGTAAAATGACTTAAAAATTAAAGAATATAGAAATGAAGATCCCCTTCCAGACCCTCCTACTTAATAATTCACAATTTAACTTTGATGATCTTTCCTAATCTGAATGCATTCAAAGTATAATTATATGCTGTATATCTGAAAACAGATTAATTTCGTTTTACACACACGTGTGCTACAATTGATTGACCATCAAACTGTACACTGGACGAGTTCATGATATGTTTATGAATGAAACAAAAGGTATGAAAGGTTTGATTTTGCAATTCTTACTTTTTTACGAAATTTTCGTAACACAGTGAATTTTTACAATAATGAAATAGTGCGTTGTTTACGAAATTGAGAAAGTTTGCAGATCATGCATTTTCATTCTTTGAAAAACTGCTTCGCTGAGCGCAGCTGGATACGCCCGCAGAGGTCCAACCCTGAACAGTTGGGGCAAAAATGGACACAATTTTCAAGCTTCATACAGGTCTGAATTTGGATTGTAATTAAATATTTGACATATAAGGGGTTTCTGAATAAATGTAGTCAAAGAACTTGAAACTGGGTTAACCGTTATATAAATTGAATTTATATTCAATTAAAGATTTCTTGCTGTTGTGCAATACACTGTGCTGTTGCGCAATACTTAGTAAATCGGTTGTCAGACTATAAACAAATAAAGTTCAATTAATTCTCAATATCATATTAGAAATTTATGAAAATCAAAAGGGAGCTTACATCAATAGATATAAACAATTCACCAAAGTTTCATGAGAATTGCTGACAGCATTTTTGAGTTATTGTCCAAAAACTGGAAAATCCCCCCTTTTTTAATGAATAAAACCCCATAACTCAGAAATGTAAAATGTAAAATTTATAAAATTCTAAAGTGAGCTTACATCAATAGATATAAACAATTCACCAAAGTTTCATAAGAACTGCTGAAAGCATTTTTGAGTTTTTGTTCGAAAACTGGAAAATCCCCCCTTTTTTTTTTAATAAAACCCTGTCACTCAGAAACGTAAAATCTTAAATTTATAAAAATCGAAAGGGACCTCATGTCAATAGATATAAACAATTTACCACAATTTCTTGCAAGTTGGTGAAAGCATTCTTGAGTTATTGTCCGAAAACTGGATAATCCCCCTTTTTTTAATGAATAAAACCCCATAACTCGGAAACGTAAAATCTAAAATTAATAAAAATTCGTAAGGGTTCCGCGGAACCCAGTGTCTCGCCTACTTTTGCTGTTAATCACAGGCTCAACAAAAATGAGGAAAAAAATTAATAAAAATATTCCTCTCTATACTATCTTTTGATTGTAAGTAGCTTCTGTCCAAGTTTTGTAAAAATCCAGGATAGTTTATGAATCTAATAAATGTTTTAAAAACTTAAACTGCAGACTGTATGTAATGTTAACTGGAAGAAAAACTAAGTCCATTTATAAGTAAAATACGGAAAAAATGGAACAAAATTTTAACAAAATTTCCTTCTAGATACTAGCTTTTAATCATAAACAAGCTTCTGTCCAAGTTTGGTACAAATCCAGGATAGTTTAAGAAAGTTGTTAAAATTTTAAAAACTTTAACCACAGAGTGAATGTAATGTTAACTGGCAGAAAAACTAAGTCCATTTATAAGTAAAATACGGAAAAAATGGAATTTATTTTTTACAAAATTTACTTCTGGATACTATCTAATGATCATAAACAAGCTTCTTTCCAAGTTTGGTAGAAATCCAGGATAGTTTAAGAAAGTTATTAAAATTTCAAAAACTTTAACCACAGAGTGAATGTAATGTTTCTTGGCAGAAAAACTAAGTCCATTTATAAGTAAAATACGGAAAAAATGGATTTTTTTTTTTACAAAATTTACTTTTGAATATTATCTTATGATCATAGACAAGCTTCTGTCCAAGTTTGGTAGAAATCCAGGATAGTTTAAGAAAGTTATTTAAATTTCAAAAACTTTAACCACAGAGTGAATATTTGTGGACGCCGCCGCCGACGCCGACGGAATGTAGGATCGCTATGGCTCGCTTTTTCGACAAAAGTCGAAGGCTCGACAAAAAACGAAAGGGAGCTCACGTCAATAGATATAAACAATTCACCAAAGTTTTATGCAAATTGGTTAAAGCGTTTTTGAGTTAACGTCCGACATGTTGACGACGGACGGACAGACGGACGGACGGACAGAGGTATACCATAATACATCCCGTAAACGGGCGTATAAAAATATATTATTTTGAAGAAAGACATTGAAATTCATTTTACGCACGTCTACACAAGGTAAAAAGCTTGTGTGTCTTAACAGAAAAGAGCATGTTTCAGTCTCATTAAGCTGTTATCAGTCCAATTTAATACAAATGAAAGCAGTGAGTTAATGAAGTAAAAATATGACCGATCTGCCCATTTTTGTACTTAAAAAGTCGAATTGATCGTTTTAACGCCGGATTTGTGTACCTCACAAAAACATGTTAGGCACTATAGGGCAAATGTGAATCAAGGGAACGGACCAGGATTCTACAAGGAGTAGCTGACACAATGTAAAGCATTATTAAAATCGATCATTTATAAACAAAGGCATTGCATAAAATGATAAAGGCTCAGTCAATTTAATCCTTAAACATGCTCCTTTGTTGCACATCAAGCTGCTTTGTGCACAAAAGAGGTCCTTTTAAATTAGCGTTTTAGAGACCTTTACAAATAAATAGTGCACCTTCTTCTTTTTCTTTATTCTTCCCTCCACTATCTGGAGTACCACTACTTTTGAAGTGTAATACGGTTAAGCAACTACTACTGTAAGCAACAAATGGATAACAACACTGCCTGGTGTACTTACCACCAAGTTAAGGTTCACCATAACCTTTTTTGCAAATATGGCCCTATAGTCTGAGCCAAACTGTGTTAGAGTTTGTCTGACTGAAAAAGAAATTTGACCTTTTCTACTATATTTTGAACTAAAAACTCTAAAAATTTCTGTCTGACCGGATGAATTTTTGTCTGACATTTTGTCGGTCAGACAGAGTTTGGGATACATTGGCCCTATTTACACAATAAATTCCACCCTGAGTACAGACAAACCTGTGCACCTGGCAAAGTTTTAGAGCATGGCTGGATCTAGATAAATAAAATTGAGATGCATTTTAAGTTTCAGAATATTATTACAATGTATTCTTTTGAATTTTTACTACATGTACCTCTTGAACAGTATTATATCTTAACATGCTATTAAGAATACATTGAACTACTTGACTGTAAATTAACTATGTGTAAATATATGTTTTTGATTGTACTGTAATTTGTGAGGGCCTCAGGGAAGATTAGTTTGTTGCAACTAACTGTGTTTACCGTCTTTAAATAAAGAATTTATTAGGTCTTTCCACTTTTCTGTGGAAAGACCTATTGTATTTGTTCTGATTATTTTTTTTCTTCTTCTTCTTCAGCCAAACCCTTTTCTTGCGGTATAAAGTTGTTTCGCAAGATGTCGCCTAGATATTTTGGATATTATATCGAACAGTTATTGCGCTTTAAAAACTCATCTTGTTAAGCCGAAGATATTTTTATTGTAAGAGTTATCTCCCCAAACACTGTTTTTCTTGTTAGTGTATCTCTTCCGTAACCAAAAAACATAACGACAAAAACATTTTTCTGATTTGTTCGTTACATCTTCAAAAATGTTTGGCTGATTTGGATCGAAGCGATCCGGTGAAATCTTATAGGAGTTATCTACTTTTACCAAATAAATTTGTCGTTATCTTTTTGTAACTCAAACCGTAAGCCTATAAACCTAGTCTTTTTATTTGAGGACCTTGGGTCCTAACTTAGAAAATTAGGTCAAGGTCAAAGGTCAAGGTCTTTTTTTGCCTTTTCTCTGACACTTTTAAAGTTATATATAAAAGAACTAGTGCAAAATGTTTGCTTTATTGGGATGAAGATATGATACATCTGGTCTGAAACAATCCAATGACATCTTATAGGAGTTATTGCACCTGAAATGTTTTATTGCTCAATTCAAACACGAAACATGAAACACAAGTAGCATAAAACTATATAATTCACTATTATACGTGCAGGGATCTGTTCAATCACCATACTATAATAATGGACTGTCCATAACGTTTATAACCCTTGGAAATTACTTAAACAGAATAATGTCGTGTCTTCAATAAAAATCATGTAATGACAAAGAGGAGTAGAGCACTCATGACAACCTTTCATTTCTTCGTTTTGGCTGGTTTTAATGCTGGGTATGTTCAGGGGAATATAAGTAAGGTATGTTGTGCCACTTTCATCCATTGATTACCCGCGAAACTAGGTTGCTTCCCCTTGTCTTGTCCACATCTTCTAAGATGAAGTATGCAAAACGAATTTTAAAATGATTTAAAATTAAAGCAAAAAAATAAGGAGTTGAACAAAAATCGAAAATATCAATTAAATCAATTAATTTTCTACCCAAAATAGTTTACTTAGTTCGGGAATATTCAATACATTATTTTTTAAATCGAACTATTCGTTTTAAATTTCAACATCTCCGTACGAAATTTGTATTAATCTAGCGGGCTGCACAAACATGTCAAAATACATTTATTTGATTGAACTGATATTTTTAACCGGAATGGCAGATGGAATTTGTGGTTATCGTCCCTTAAAAAACTTATAATACACTGGAATTAAAACTGAGAAACTGAATAACAGAGAAATAATTATTGATATAAGTTTATTTTCAATCAATTCATCATGTCATGCCAGTAAATAACATTTCTTATTGAGAGAAAAGAAATAAACTGAACATGTGTGATGAGTTATTTACAAAACGTGTTCCAATATTATTCAAGAGTCCAGACAGGGAGGACAGGTAAACAGTTTTCTGTCTTCGTTTTAATTGATGCATTATAATATAAAATGTGGGGTACAGGTCAAATCGGCACCTATAGAAACTAAGAAAGTCAAATCGGCACTTGGTCAAGTCGGCATCAAGTCAAATTGGCACCTATTTAAAGTCATTTCAGCATTTGGTTAGTCAATGTGGCACCAAATATTTTTTGTTTACCTTTTTATTTGGGGATAATAATTTTTTTCGTTTGTTTATATATTTTTTTTTCTCCAAAAAAAGATTTGAAGAGATGTAGGAGCATCTTTTTGCATTTACCTTAACCTGAGACTACTATAACCCATAGTGTTATAGTAGTCTCAGCCTTAACAAGCTTTAATGACCACTTAGTGATGACATTTAAATGATTCTGACACTTCGTGCTGCATTTTGTTACAGAAACCCAAAAACTAATATGACCCTCCTTTTCCTACTTATAAATTCTGAGTTTTCATCTATTAAATCTTATTTTTGTTCTGTAGTCTCTTCCTGTCCATTGTTGGAACTGATGCAGACTTAAGGAAACCAGTTGTGAATATCAATCACTTAATGGATTATACCTCAATTGAGGTATAATCCATATTTTCACAAAATGCAGCACCGGAAGTCAGAAGCAATTATATGTCACCCAAGAGAACTCATCAAAGCTTAAGATGGTATAGATGCAAAAAGATGCTTGATTATCTCTTAAAAAAACTTTGCGATAAAAACTACATTATACTTGACAAGACGAGGGGAAGTCAATTAATGGCTATTCCTGACCTGTTGAATTAGGTGAAGAGGTCCCCTTCCCTTCAAACATTTCCTTTTGGTGTAAAAAAATAAAAGTACCCACATTGATGACCCAACAAACTTTTAAGTTATCCAAGTATTAGATGTAAGCTTTTCCATATCTGAGGGGTGTCAGCCCCCAAGATATGAGACGATTACATCTGATTTACATAGAAGTAATAAATAGATATTTTGTCTATTCTCTTGTTCTAAAAGAGCAATTAGTTTTGATAAAACAGGAAAAGTGTCATTATCTCAAATTTACCAGATGCAGTAATCACTTTCAGAAGATTTTTTGTACATTGTAGTTATGGATGTGGAATGAAATCTTACATTCTTAATTGGGTCTATTTTTCTGTCATCAAATTGATACTGTATCTGCTTTTGTATAACAATATAAATCACTGTACTACAATGTATCTTGTCCTTTTCTGCTTTAATTGCCAAATCTGAACTTTTTGCTGATAAATGATAACACTTCTATGTAAACATGGTAAATAGGAATGTAACTGACCCCATGCTCATTTGACTTTTATAATCTAAGATTGTCTTCAATATAACATTTACAATCTTATCACTCAGTTAAAATTTTTGGGAAAATGTAATATTTAAATTAATCATAGATTACAGATTGATATCATATGTTAGTTTTCTTTAATTTTCCACTTTGGTTTCTGGTATGTAATGCAAAGAGTACATTGTTGCCTTAGTTGAAATTGCATGTATTAGATTTTGTAATTTGTATTTTTTTGCAACAAACAAAATGACACATATTTGGAATAGATGAATTTATGTAACCATGTAAAAGCTGAATGGATGTACATAACATGTTTTTTTTAATTTTCAGGCGAGAACATGTTTATTTGAAGATGGAACTTCAAACCTTGTCGTCACCTCTCCACAAAAAGGTAAAAATTACCTGTATTTCATTCTGTAAAGAACCAAAATTAGATAATTTCAATAGATTACTGGACCAGATATTTATATTGTTTTTGTATAAGATATTTACCTGATATTATTAATGCTTATTCTTGGCAGTTTTCAAAGGCCTTACACATTGAAATAGCTTGACAATTGTAACTATTGGTTGATTATACTTCTGGACCTGGTTGTTCATCACAAGGTTATGTTTACAATAAATCAGTCATAAAACTTAATTGCATACTGTAAATTAAGAAATTATTGTGAAGTTTTTATTAATGCGAATAAGCGACTGGGTGAGTATTGCTATAATAAGAACTCACATTCTGATATCTGTATGCAGATTTTCCGGAAATTGCAATTATTGCTCTCGTATTTTTGTCCATTCTTCAAAAATCACAATAATAAATGGACACAATAATTTCTGTATTAACAGTAGTTAACAAATTTTGAAAATTAAAGAGAATAAGACAAAAGTGATAAGATAAACAATTAATACAATAGACATGATAGACAGGTAAACATGTATAACATGTATGATGTATTTAATACTGTAAACCAGGAAATTTTCACACCCTCTTTTTTTGCCATTTGCCAACTGAATATTAATTTGCACCGTTTTAAATTCGTGATCGTGGGAGCTACAAAATGTATTTACAAATTTTTTGAAATGCTACTGTGATGCATGTAACTTATATCAAGTGTTGAAAATCGATCAGAAAAAACTTTTTATCTGAACAAAGCGAACAGTTACACATGTATCATCTGTCACGAGTGTTTTATATATAACAGTATCAATAATTTCCGCTTGCACAAGATGACTTTCATTTGGATTCGACTGTCATGAGATAAAAGTTTTGATTTCTGATACTGCCCTTTATTCAGAAATAAAGTCAGTAAAATTGTTTTTATAAATCGCACCTGTTCATAAACCTATGTGTATAAGTTCATGCATGGATTGGTCCTCATCCGTTGAAATGGGTTTCCTTGAAATATTACCAGAAGTTTAATTTTCGTGTATTAATTCTTACCGCAAAAATAACAAAATAAAACTTCTGCGAAAATTTCCCTGTTTACCATGTTTACAGTCACATGACAGTACTTGAAATTCAGAATACAAAATGTACCATGTTATAAATCATATATTATGAATCTATGAAAGGTATTAATTCTTTAATTTAAGGAGCTGGTAGTAAGACTGACAGATGAAAGAGATTTATTTTTCTTGTACACGTTAAGATTAGGTGAAGAAGATTTTCAGAGGTAAAATGTTTATTTTTGTTTGTTCCTGCACCATTTTTATACGACGGCAAAATTTGAAAATTTTTTGGTCGTATATTGGTATGACGTTGGCGTCGTCGTCGTCGTCGTCGTCTGGCGTCGTCCGAAGACACATTGGTTTTCGCACTCTAACTTTAGTTTAAGTGAATGGATCTCCATGAAATTTTACCATAAGGTTCAATACCACAAAAGGAAGGTGGGGATTGATTTTGGGGGTTATGGTACCAACAGTTAAGGAATTAGGGGCCAAAAAGGGGCCAAAAATAAGCATTTTTGTAACTTCCAGACAATAACTTGTGTGTAAGTGTATTTATCTCTCTGACATTGTACCACAAGGTTCCATATCACAAAGGGAAGGCTGTAATTGATTTTGGGGGTAATTGCCTCAAAATTTTAGGAATTAGGGGCCAAAAAAGGGGCAAAAAACAAGCATTTTTCTAGTTTCATGACAATAACTTGTGTGTAAGTGTTTGGATATTTTTGAAATTGTACTACAATGTTCCATATCACAAAGGGAAAGCTGGAATTGAGTTTAGGGGTAATTGCCTGAAACGTTTAGGAATTGGGGGCCAAAAAGGGGCCAAAAATAAGCATTTTTCTAGTTTCCAGACAATAACTTGTGTTCAAGTGTATGGATCTCTCTGAAATTGTACTGCAGGGTACCATACCACAAAGGGAAGGCTGGGATTGAGTTTGGGGGTGATGAATCATAAGGGGGTTCAAAAAATTTGGGGGGGGGGGGGGATTTTTTTTTCTCCTTTTTTTTCTTTTTTTCCTTTTTTTTTCTTTTAAAATTTTCCATTTTAAGTTGGTTATTTCTGATTAATATTTAAAAGCAAATAATAATGATATGGTAGGAGATACACACCAAACAGGATGTGTAAATTATTATATAATAAGTATTGTGCAATAGCAAGAAATTTTCAATTGCACAGTATTGCACAATTGCAAGAAATCTTCAATTGCACAGTATTGCGCAATAGCAAGAAATCTTCAATTGCACAGTATTGCACAATAGCAAGAAATATCCAATAGCACAATATTGCGCAATAGCAAGAAATTGTCAATTGTACAGTATTGCACAATAGCAAGAAATATTCAATTGCACAGTATTGTGCAAAAGAAGATACTTTGTATAAATTGCTTATTTCTTGATCAATTTCAATGGGGTTTTATTCTTGAATTCTTGGGGTTCTTTAATATGCTGAATCTAACCATGTATTAAGTTTTTGGATTTTGGGCCCCGTTTTTAAATTCGTCCACATTGAGGTCCAAAGGGTCCAAAATTTAACTTTGTTTGATTTCATCAAAAATTGAATTATTGGGGTTCTTTGATATGCCGAATCTAACCGTGTATTTAGATTCTTAATTTTTGGTTCCGTTTTCAAATTGGTCTACATTAAGGTATAAAACCACTAATTCACAGCCCCATTGCTTTCTATGTTAAATTCTGCAATTTCAAGCATAAATGGCTACTTTGTCTGAAGTTCAAATAAAGTGGCAGTTATTTCATGTCAAAACTGTACTTTATGCTGACTTGTGCTGAAAAAATCAACATACCTTTAATTGCATATTAGAGCGTACTGGTTCCCGGAAGTTTGATAGTACAAAAACAGGAACTTCTGATCTGAACAACAGGCCAAATGAGCCCTCCTATTAAAATTGCATATACTTCTTTATTATTCAAATAAAACTTTCAACAAGGGTTCTACAGTGATCCCAAGTCCCCAATCTTTCATTTGATACTAAAACTACCCAAATATTCCCACTATTGACAAAGATACAGCTATGCGTAGGAACTATTTTGTTTAAAATATGTACTACTTTCTTGTATGTTCTTTCCGACCGGGCCTGAATTAGTGGTTCTATACCTATAACAGCACCAAACTTGTTATATTGACTTCTGCTTGACTTAATTTCCTTCTATGATCTATTTCTAGCATAGAAAAACACATAAAGCTTTTGTCAAAACACTATATCACTGAATTCAAGCTCAAATTGGACTGGTAGTAACATATGCGTTAAATAAAGAAAACTACATATGGATACCAATAGTGACAGATATGACACTTTTTCAATTTTTACCAGTTCTGATTTGTTAATATCTACTCAAATAACAGTGTTCTTACCTATATGTCTTATTTTTATCAGAAATTCTTCCTTGAATATAAATACAGTGGTCCAAACATGAAATATAATTGATAATTTTGTCCCCCCTTTTTTCTACATGTTGGAAAAGGAGAGTGATTTGGTAAAAAAATCATACTTTTATGTATAAACATGGATCAACAAGAGCAATTTATGTATCTCCAAGCTAGACAACTTGCTAAAATGGTTATTAAATGCATTTCAAGAGAGATTTTGGAATTCCTATATAAGTATACACCAATTTTCCTTGAAATAAATAATTCACCAAGAAACACAATAAAACTTGAACACTCACTAGATAATTTGACCAAAAACAATATTTATACTATAAACTAGTCATAATATACAAGTTTCATTGGTTTCAGTGTTAGATAATCCAAAAATTTAAATTTCAGGTAAAATCTTAACTGTGTGCATGCTAAATGACCAAAAAAGGCTAAACTACCTTATTGTAGCAATTTGAGGGCCGTAATTTGACACTAACATAATTGTTACATAAAAAAAATAATGTAACATGATTTCTGACAACAAATGTGACCAGTTTTCACTGTAAAGGGTATGATTTCTAAAAATAGAATTTCACATGCCTGTCAGTAATAGGTATAAAACCACTAATTCACAGCCCCATTGCTTTCTATGTTAAATTCTGCAATTTCAAGCATAAATGGCTACTTTGTCTGAAGTTCAAATAAAGTGGCAGTTATTTCATGTCAAAACTGTACTTTATGCTGACTTGTGCTGAAAAAATCAACATACCTTTAATTGCATATTAGAGCGTACTGGTTCCCGGAAGTTTGATAGTACAAAAACAGGAACTTCTGATCTGAACAACAGGCCAAATGAGCCCTCCTATTAAAATTGCATATACTTCTTTATTATTCAAATAAAACTTTCAACAAGGGTTCTACAGTGATCCCAAGTCCCCAATCTTTCATTTGATACTAAAACTACCCAAATATTCCCACTATTGACAAAGATACAGCTATGCGTAGGAACTATTTTGTTTAAAATATGTACTACTTTCTTGTATGTTCTTTCCGACCGGGCCTGAATTAGTGGTTCTATACCTTAAGGTCAAAAGGGTCCAAAATTAAACTTAGTTTGATTTTAACAAAAATTGAATTTTTAGGGTTCTTTGATATGCTGAATCTAAACATGTATTTAGATTTTTGATTATGGGCCCAGTTTTCAAGTTGGTCCAAATCAGGGTCCAAAATTAAACTTTGTTTGATTTCAACAAAAATTGAATATATGGGGTTCTTTGATATGCTGAATCTAACCATGTATTTAGATTTTTGATTTTTGGGCCCCGTTATCAACTTTGTCCACATTGAGGTCAAAAAGGTCCAAAATTAAACTTTGTTTGATTTCATCAAAAATTGAATTCTTGGGGTTCTTTGATATGCTGAATCTAACCATGTATTTAGATTTTTTATTTGTGGACCCGCTATCAAATTGGTTCATATTGAGGTCAAAAGGGTCCAAAATTAAACTTTGTTTGATTTCATCAAAAATTGAATTATTGGGGTTCTTTGATATGCCAAATCTAACCGTGTATTTAGATTTTTAATTTTGGGTCCCGTTTTTAAATTGGTCTACATTAAGGTCCAAAGGGTCCAAAATTAAACTTAGTTTGATTTTAACAAAAATTGAATTCTTGGGGTTCTTTGATATGCTGAATCTAAACATGTGTTTAGAATTTTGATTATGGGCCCAGTTTTCAAGTTGGTCCAAGTTGGGGTCCAAAATTAAACTTTGTTTGATTTCAACAAAAATTGAATATATGGGGTTCATTGATATGCTGAATCTAAACATGTATTTAGATTTTAGATTTTTGGCCCAGTTTTCAAGTTGGTCCAAATTGGGGTCCAAAATTAAACTTTGTTTGATTTCAACAAAAATTGAATATATGGGGTTCTTTGATATGCTGAATCTTACCATGTATTTAGATTTTTTATTTGTGGGCCCGCTATCAAATTGGTTCATATTGAGGTCAAAAGGGTCCAAAATTAAACTTTGTTTGATTTCATCAAAAATTGAATTATTGGGGTTCTTTGATATGCCAAATCTAACCGTGTATTTAGATTTTTAATTTTGGGTCCCTTTTTTAAATTGGTCTACATTAAGGTCCAAAGGGTCCAAAATGAAACTTAGTTTGATTTTAACAAAAATTGAATTTTTGGGGTTCTTTGATATGCTGAATCTAAACATGTGTTTAGATTTTTGATTATGGGACCAGTTTTCAAGTTTGTCCAAGTTGGGGTCCAAAATTAAACTTTGTTTGCTTTCAACAAAAATTGAATATATGGGGTTCTTTGATATGCTGAATCTAAACATGTATTTAGATTTTAGATTTTTGGCCCAGTTTTCAAGTTGGTCCAAATTGGGGTCCAAAATTAAACTTTGTTTGATTTCAACAAAAATTGAATATATGGGGTTCTTTGATATGCTGAATCTTACCATGTATTTAGATTTTTTATTTTGTAGGCCCGCTATCAAATTGGTTCATATTGAGGTCAAAAGGGTCCAAAATTAAACTTTGTTTGATTTCATCAAAAATTGAATTATTGGGGTTCTTTGATATGCCAAATCTAACCGTGTTTTAGATTTTTAATTATGGGTCCCGTTTTTTAAATTGGTCTACATTAAGGTCCAAAGGGTCCAAAATTAAACTTAGTTTGATTTTAACAAAAATTGAGATCTTGGGGTACTTTGATATGCTGAATCTAAACATGTGTTTAGATTTTTGATTATGGGACCAGTTTTCAAGTTTGTCCAAGTTGGGGTCCAAAATTAAACTTTGTTTGATTTCAACAAAAATTGAATATATGGGGTTCTTTGATATGCTGAATCTAACCATGTATTTTGATTTTGGACATTGGACCATAATAGGTAAATTAAAAAAATTGAAGTTCTTAGACCACATTCTTTCTGTGTCAGAAACCTATGCTGTGTCAAATATTTAATCACAATCCAAATTCAGAGCTGTATCAAGCTTGAATGTTGTGTCCATACTTGCCCCAACTGTTCAGGGTTCGACCTCTGCGGTCGTATCAAGCTGCGCCCAGCGAAGCATTTTATTAAGGTTAATGTTCCTTTAATTTTAATAAGTTAATCCAGCAGGGGCGTAGCTTCCCAGAGGCACGACAACACGTGCATCCACATCGTTTTCACCACAACAAAAAACGAGAGAGACGGACAAAGTTAACATATAGGAATTGGTCAATCGGACAGAGTAGGGGGGGGGGGGGGGGGGATATTAACGTGATGCATCTATTATCTATTATGGAACGTGATTCTGTATTTGTTTAATGTTCTGAGACTGTTTGTGTCTTGCCCCCCACCCTAACTGAATCGTCGACTCTGTCTCCATCTAACCACCCTCCTTATCCAGATATTTGCAATATCTCAGTAGAATGTTTACAACAAGACAGAGTGAAACTAGATTGGCTGACAAAAACATCATGGGAAAATGTTGCAAAATACAAGTTTCCTTTAAGGTAATTTATAATTTTACGAACAGAAGTATACTATTTTTAAGCAAATAAGGGTAGATCTAAGTCTAAGAACAAAAACACCTCAAACTTTAGGACCAGTTTAAAAAACCCATATCGTCCCCTTCATCAATCAGGAACTATTTCTGGCAGAAATCTAATATTTAGTAACAAGCTTCATGAATTTTTTTACCTGTCAGTTCCCTCCCTACTTCTTGTCTACCAACTGATACCACTTTGTAATGTAGGGTTTCCTAGTTAACTAGTAAGCAATAGCTCACAGTTGTAGATTTTGTATTTAGTAAAAAAAAATACTCAGCTCATTGGTTGACAGGCTTAAGAGTATAGCCTCATACGATGAAAAATAAAATCATCTCCTTCAGAATCCCCTAAAGCCCCCCCTAATATATCCACATATAGTATTGTGTTTTTGTTTATTATCCCCTGCGTAACGTGTTGCGGTGGACATGGAAATACCGGGTGTCCGTCCTCCGGTCTTGTTAGTGCTCTCACAGGTACAATTTTTGCCAGATTTTTATAAAACTTATACTATAGGTTAATATCAGCAATATCTCGGACAAGTTCTATAATGTTGGCCAATCAACTTTTTTAAAAGAGTTATGCCCCTATGAAATATTAAATTTATGGAAAATGGCCTCGTTAGCGCTCTAACGGGTATAATTCTTGCCAGATTTTTATAAAACTTATACTATAGATTAGTATCAGCAATATCTCGGACATTTTATATATTAGTGACCGATCGACTTTTTTAAAAAGAGTTATGCCCCTTGGAAATATTAAATTTATGAAAAAATGGCCTCGTTAGCGCTCTGTACCCACTGGGGGGTCCTTAGGTGGCCCCCAGACCACACACCATTTAGTTTGTGATTCCACTTCATTAAGAAGGTTGCTTCGCCCCTGCCCAGGTACATTGTGTGTGACATGTAATTAGTCCATTTTGAAAACCTGTACTGAGTTCTTGTGATAACTGTCACTTTGATATCGTCTGCCTTTTTACATGAAGTCAAGATTTTTTTATCCCAGTTTAGGCTGGTTGTAATACCATCTAACAATTGTTTTTTATTTAACATATTTATCACAGGCACTTGTCTCTACCAAAATAAAAATTCATGAGTTATATTAAGTTTTTTTTTCAGAGACAAGTGCCTGTAATGTTTTTATATTAAAGACTTTTGTTGCTGTATATCATATTTGTTTTTCGTTCATTATATTGTACATAAATTAGGCAGTTAGTTTTTATCGTTTTAATTGTTCCACATTTGTCATTTCAGGGCCTTTTATAACTGACTATGTGGTATGGGTTTTGCTCATTGTTGAAGATGGTACAGTGACATATAGCTGTTAACTTCTATATCATTTGGTCTCTTGGTGGAGAGTTGGCAATTATACCACATCTTCTTATTTTTATATTTGTAGTGAACATGTGAATATTTTTAATGTACAAGTTCATATAAATTTCTTTTTTATTCTTTTTGTAGTTTGAAAACTCAGCAAGGTTTGTTGGTGGATTTTGCTGCTTTTCCACAGAAGTTTATAGATCTGTTAGAAATGTGTATACGTGAAGAACACAAGGAAATGCCAAAGTAAGCCAAGATAAGTTGGTACATTGTACTTACAAATGATATGATTAATTTCTCTATAAATGTATTTTGATTCCTCCTCATGCTTATATCAGTTTCTTTTGATCTTTGCACTTTCAATATTTATATTCCCACTTTGAGGGAGGGGTTATACTGTTTAACTTCTGTCTGTCAGTCTGTCCAATGTAGTTTCTGTTGCAATTTTCTCAGGAACTACAAAGAGCTTCCAGAAATTTGGTTTTATCCCTCATCAACTTCCTGTTTACGATATTCCTATATATTGTAACACATAATGGCTGTATATGAAATTTTCTTCCATCACATATTTCTCGAGAACTTCTAGTAAGATCTCTCTGATATTTGTTATCAGGCTTCATGTGAACATGTTATACATGTACCAGGAAATGCATCTTCATATCCATTGCTCTTCAACTTCCTGTTTATAGAATACTTAAAGCAGGGGTTTCATTAGTGAGCAATATCTCAAAGTTCTACTGGTTATACATATTTAACTCTATTAAGAAACTCTATGGAAGAAAACTATTAACATCAGTATAAATCACTGAATGTGTTGATTTTTTTCTGTCCTAAATCCTAAAAAACAGTCCCCAAAAAAAACAGCATAACAAACCAAATTGCATTTTTTGTGTTCTTTGGCAGAACATTTCTTTGTGTTTAAAAAAGAATTGACCTGTTGTTCAATTCTTTTGGTGATCATACTTTTTTTTTTCTATTATGATTGTAAATTTATTTTCTATTTTTCAGATTTATCTTACATTTTGTGAGTCAAGGTAGTTACACTAATGAGAGAACTACAGGAATGTTAAATGTTATAGAGACAAATCCATTCAAACATCTTACACATCTTAGTCTAAAGTTTATACCAGGAACAGATTCAGATGTCAAGAAATATCTGGCAGATTGTCTTAAACAACTAAAGGTAATATTTCATAGATGTAAAAAAAAGTTTTAAGATAAAATTGCATTCATATTTGATTCTTATTCTGTTTGTAACTTTTATACTGGTTTGACAGTGTTGAAAACTTCATGAATCAAAACCACTGTTGTTCACTACACATGATGATAATTTTTATACTCAAGAGTTATTTAGATATAAAGGAGTTAGCATTGCAATGTTGTTTTTTTCTGTCATCAATCTGTAATTTAATGGTTGCTCTCAGCAGATAATGAAAATACACATGTCTTCATATTTTACTTTAAAATCTATCAAGAAGGTTGCCTGAACAAATCTCTCCCAAAATTACTATTATATCTTAATAAATAGACTACAGAATTAATTCAAATGTTTCTTAAACAATCAGTAAAATGTTATGCTTGCTCATAGAGTAGAAAATTGATTAAATCAAATTTAATTGAATCTGCTTTGTCCGAGTATTTTTAATGAAATGTGATACTTGACATTATGAAGGAATTATTTTGCTTCAATCAAAAAAGTATACCAGTATAAAGCAATCATTTGACAAAAGTAACTATTATTGAAATCAAAAGTACCCGGTATGTTTATTTCAGGATACCAATGCATTACTACAACAAAGATTAGAGCATACAGATACAGATCTAAATCAGAGACTCCAGCAAACACAAGAGGTAAGAACAGTTATACTGGAACTTAAAGGTATAAAAGTAACCATAGCAAATAATTGTTAAACAAATTCTTGACTAAAATAGTAACTTTCAATATACGCATGTAATACAAGAAGAATTTCTTAATCACAATTAAGCAATATAACTAAAAAGAGCTAGAGAGAAACATAGTTTGATATTTTTTCTCATAGAATTAAGCCTAAGCAAAGCAGAAGCTCATAGCATTTTGGATGATTTAAAACTGTATTGTTTGAATAGATATACAACATGTAGGTGTAATGTTATTACGGACTGTTTATACATTAATTCAGTGTTGAAATTAACCCTAAAAATATTAAAGAAAGATCCTACTTCGTAGGTTATTCAGTAGTTATATTATGGGTGTGCTATTTGGATATAAATCATTTTGTCAATGCTTTTGCTTGCCAAAATTGCCTATTTTGTTTGAAGAAAATGTCCTCTAAAAGTCTAAAATTGTGCTTAATGAATATTTATGTAATATTGATCTATTGTATGTTTTCTAAAAAGATTATTTCTTGAAATTTTACAGACATTGAGCAGTAAGACAATAGAATTAGATAACCATAAAGCTGAATGGTCAGCCAGATTGAATGAAATGTCTGCTAAACATAAAAATGAAATGGCAACTGAAAAAGAAAAGATGCTGCAGGTACTGTATAAAGAAAAACATTCATTTTACCATGTTCATATTGTTAATATAGGGAATATGCTTAAAATGCTATATTATATCTTTTGAAAGTGGGAGCACAGAGTTTGGAATGTGACAGCCTTTCCAAGTGACCATTAGAATTCAAAGCATTTGGGGTAAAATTTCAAAAAGTATACACCAAAACATTATGGACATTCAACCAATAATATGACTTTCTATTTTTGTTAGGAACAACAGAATTACCAAAGTTCTATATATATTGAAATAGTGACTGTCACCATTTGGATTATTTATCCTCTTATGTCGTTAGCAATAATTTTAACTTCTTAACTTTTGTATAAACCTTTCAGTTATATTATTATGTATTGGCTATATCCATGAATCAGATCATGATTCATTTTGCTTATCAGTTATAAAGCTTGACAATTTTAGTGATTTCAAATGAATTCATGAAAGGTTTGTTAGAACCTTGATACTCAATGTTTTAGAAACGTATACATTGTGTACAAATTCTTTTCTTGTACAATTTGCAGTCTAAAGCTTGTTCCATTTTAAAATAAACAGTTCTTGCTCAGGGCTTTGAATTACTGTTTTCCATTGATAGATGCAGAGTAATTTCCAACAGAAACAGGAGCGAGATAGGAAAGATTTAGAACAAGCACACATGAAGATTGTAAAGCAATTAGAATCACGCTTGTATGAATTCGAAGGATCTAATAAGGTTTGTTTAGACAGAAACGATCAGGGGCAATTATTTGCCTAAATTTAGTGCATATTTAAGTTACCATACATGATCTTTAATTTGCCCTTACATGGATGAAGTTAAAGAAGTTCAAAAAGGAAAGAAATCCTATTTAACAAGTAACCATGATAACAATCCAGGATATTCATTGTGTTGTATTCATTTTTGAGTATTTTTTTATTGGAAAAGTATGGGCTCACCCCAAAAAAACAACTTTATATTTGGTGGGAATATATGTCTTTTAAAAGAAACATTCTCTAAATTTTATATTTATTTTGCTGTTGCCAATGTTTCCACTATTGAAGGAATTATGGATGTAAAACTGCATCAGATCAGCTTTTTTCTTCATTTTCATGAAATATGTGCATATTATGTTGTTATTACATTAAAATTCTTATATTATTTGCATATCTACAAATACTTGAATGTTACAGGTTCATTAGAATTTCTTTTCCTTGGTTTACACTAAGTTTACTATGTTGCAGAAAGTGCTTTCTAACATTTTTTCACTGCGGTATATTCATGTGAGACACATAAAGGTGAAATTTTTTTTTTAAAAAGTAGCAACTGTTTGGGATGAGAGTTTGAAGGATTTAACACATTTCCTAGAGGTTATTGGTGTGTTAAGGGCATACAATACAGTTACAGGGGAGGTAATAACGTTGCTAATGTAAAATGTTATTTTTCACGACGTCAAACTGTGACATATCGGGAAAAATGCATTTTCGACTGATTTTTATCATTCAGACTGATTTAACTTGAAAATGAGTTCATGGACCCCTCTTTTTAAAAATGACATTTGGCTTAATTATGTATGAAGATTCTTTGTGCCAATTTTTATGAACAAATCACCGATGAAATTTTTTAGAATTAGATAAATATATGGCAAAAAATGTCGTTCTTTGACTAAAATCATGAAAATGTGATAAAAATGAATAATTTCCAAAGAATTGTTACACAAATTCAAAGCAAACTTATAAAGAGAAGATATTCCAGATGCTTTTACAAAAATCCGCTAGCGTTTATCTTTTGAAACAAAAAAGTTAAGTATGTATTTCCAAAGGATAGAAATGACCAAGAAAACGAAATTTCCAGTAAATGTCTGAAATTTCGACCCCATCTTTTTCTAAAAGTAGCACATGAAGGTATATTTTTTATTACATAATTGAATTGATTTAGGTGAAAATTGGCTTCTATGCAAACTTTTGTCAAAAATTTACTGTGGGATCAAAACTGTATCGTATGCCCTTAACTGGGCAGATGCACTCACAAACTTAACATATTAAGATGTCTGATGTTATGTACATCCACTTTGTCTTTTTCAATAATTAATAAGATTCTTACTAATTTTGGTGTCTATTTTATTGTATTTACATTGTAGGATCTCACAGACAGGAAATATAAAGCAGAGTCTTCTATAAGAGAGTTGAAATCTAAATTATCTTCTCTTGAAGAGGAACATTTGAGGGCAAAACAGGAACTTCAGAGTTTACGGAAACAAAATACTACATTGGACAGTGAATATCATGAACAAGAAAAGTTAATAAATCAAATGAGAACTAAATTAGCTGTGTTAGAGCAGGAGATGAAGGATAAGGAAAATCTTATAGCAAAATCTTCAGATTTGTTAGGATCAGAGCAAGACCAAAAGGTAGTATCTTATTAAAAGTAAAATTTCTAGATTAAGAAATTTTACTGTCTGTAGGTTTTGAATTTGTTTAAATTGTATCTTTGCTAGTTCTTTGTTGATAACAAAGGCCAGTTTTAGATTATGCATTTTAAGATATTTGCCATGAGCAGTTTTGATTAATGTAAATCAAGATTATTGCTGACATTAAAAGTGGTATGTCTATATTATTTCTTGTTTGAAACTTTGATGTCTACAAATTGTAAAATCTTTTGAACATCACTCAGTTTCATGTAACATTCTCAGTAACTGATACTTCAGCCCAGTTTTGAAATACCTTTATATCCTAAACATGAACAGGTATATGAACTTAATAAAAATATCAAAACATGGTACACACAATTCAATTGAAATGTTTTAGTGTATGTATGACACCTGGGTTTTTATTCAGCTGGGACTCGTCACTTCTCTGATGAGTCCAAATGAACTCCAATAAATCTGCTTTCTAGGTTGGTTAAAAGCTTTACTTGAATGGTCTGATTATAGTAAACAGATATAACAACTTGATAATTCTATTTATTGGTGCATATGCTAAGGCTTTTCAGTTAAAATGAATGTGGGGTGGTAGGGAAGCAAATTTTATTTTTGGTCATTGGTTATTTACAAATGGTTTTCTATCTAATGTAAGCAAAATTTCACTCTCGAAAGCCCTTCTTATCCTCCCACATTAGTTTTAATGGAATAGCATTTAAACTGAAGTAAAATAAATTCAAATTATCCCCCAAAAAAGAACATTTTCATATTTTATTTGTAATAAGAAATTGTTTATTTTACATTTATTATTTGTTTTACAGAGAAAATATGAAGAAGAACTAGATGGTAGAGTGAGAGAAAAACAGAGGCTTGAAAATAAAGTTAAAGCAATGTCAGAGGAACTCATGAAGGGAAATGAAATAATAAAAAAATTACAAGGAGAAATTAAAAATTATCATGCTAAGGTTATTATGAATTATGAAATGTTTTTGCTCATGTTATATGCTTGAAATAATGTTTAAAATTGTAAAAGAGTGATGCAATATAACTGTAAACACAGCAAGGGCTAAAAAAGAATTTTTTATTATCTTATTTGTGGTATATGCGATTATGATAAATTTTCTATATAATTCCCAGTAAAAACACACCCAAAGCATCAATATTTGAGTAGTTAGCAAAGCATTAGAGGAATATATACATCACTTCCTAGAGAACAGTTCTCTAAAATATTATGTTTCTTAAAATATATGGTATACTATGTATGTAAAAATGAAAAAAATGAATGTTACTAATATAATTTGGCTTATTTCAGATTAAATTAAGAAATCAGATTGCCACAGAACAAGAAAAACTTTTAGGAGATAAAGACCATGAATTAGAAAAGTTACGTCAAGATTTAGCGACAACAAAAAATACTCTCAAGACCACAGATGATGAGGTTTGTCAGACAAATACTTAAGCTTTGCTAAAAATTAAGATTTAAATTTTATTTTTAAGACAGAATGCGGCATTGTTTTATAGGTGTTCTGCAATAAATATCTTGCCACTTGTGTACTTAAAAAGTCAAAAACAATTAACTATTTTTAGCTATTTTTATCAATTTTTTGTCAGATAAAAATTACTGAAAAGTATCTTTAATATTGATGAATCTTCTTTTACCAGTCACTGTATTACATCATATTTCAGAATAAAAAGTTAAGTGAAAACTTAGAGACAACTATAAAGAAGTTAGAAGAAAGTAAACAGTTGTTAAAGACAAATGAGAATGGTATGTGTATTATTATAAGTGATATGTGAAAATGGTGTGTATATTATTATAAGTGATTTGTATGCTCTGTCCTTATGCCAAATTCTGATGCATTGTAATAACATACATGAAAGTAAAGATTTCCCATTCCCATGCAAATCAGTCCATTAGAAACTTGCAAGAAAAATACATACGGTTACAAAATCTTTCTTATATATCTATATGCAGAATACTTTAAATTAGGCATTTGATGAGCTTAGCCTGTATGTACATGTCCACAATGAAGTTTGGGTTTGAATTTTCCTTATGAAGGTAAATGAAAGTGTCTCAGAAATTTTCCAAATTTATAAAGTGTTATTTTATATTACTTGACATTAATCTATATCTATATGTATACTCTCTCATTTTCACAAAACTTGCATGAGCAATATGTCTTGCCTTCTGTTGGTCATGTTGATAGGATGTTAAGTTATGATACTTATTTGATTGTTATGATACCATATCACACATACAAATATTTCCAGCTTATGTATTTTTATATAGAACTTAAGCCTATGTTTATTTTATCAAAATATAAAAAAAAACATTTCCTTTATACCTCTCCTATCAAAATATAAAAAAAAACATTTCCTTTATACCTCTCCAAACTTTGTTTGAAAGGGTAAAATAGAGAAAAACACACAAGCAGCATTACAATATACATCATACATTAGAGTACACATAAGACTATATATTATACTTGGAACTGACAAAAGGATATAATGTTAGAAATTGTTATTAGTCTAAAAAGAAATGCTGTATTACTTTAATTACGATTGTAATGTTTAGATAACATATAATATCATATATGTAGCTATCAACTATTCTCTAATAAGTACTTTCAATATACTATATTCATGTTATATTTTTTATTTAGTGATTAATTGGTTAAATAAACAGATTAATGAGACACAGATGACACATCAGAGATTAGGAACATTTGAAATGCCAGGAGCCACATCTAAATTTAGACCTACAGGAACTGCTGTGGTTTGTAGAATTATGAACATTTTATTAAAAAGAAGGATGTATCTTGACTAGGGGTTATGTTACAGAGGTCTATATCTCCTGGAATATAACTATACATATTTTTCAAGATTTAAAGTAGGAAGTAGATGAATCTGTTTAATGATATACAAATACTGTCTTGATGAGGTAAATATATGATTTAATTGACTCTTTTCATATAATGAAGACATAATCTTTCAATTAGTTTAATTGAGGTCTGGAGATAGCATGTCAGTAACTGCTAGTAGTCCTTTGTTAATTTATGTTGATCATTGTCATTTTGCTTAGTTTCTTCTGTTACCTATTCTAACATCAGACTCAGACTTCTTTTAAACTGAATTTTACTGTGCGTATTGCTGTGTATTTGTTTATTCTACATTGGCTAGAGGTATAGGTGGAGGATTGAGATTTCACAAAACATGTTTAACCCTGCTGCATTTTTGCACCTGTCCCAAATCCGGATCCTCTGGCCTTTGTCAGTCTTGTATGTTTTTGTCTCGCCTTGACGAAGTCAAAAAGCGAGACATAGGTATGCTGTTTCCAGCGGCGGCTTCAACAATGTATTAGTTTGTGATTAGGTCTAGTTTATGGTGATCCAAAAGTGATAGGTCATTGATATTTCGTATGCAGTTGTATTAGCATTGGCACATCTCATTTCCATGGAGATTATTTGGCCCTGCCCCCTCAGTCATGGTCTATTGACTTTGAAACTTTGGCTTAGTTTACATGTATTAGTTTGTGATTAGGTCAGTTTATGGGGAACCACTAGTGGTAGGTCGATGATATTTGGTATGCAGTTGTATAAGCATTGGCATATCTCATTTCCATGGAGAATATCTGCCCCCTTAGTCATGGTCAATTGACTTTGAAAATTTTGCTTAGTTTACATGTATTAGTTTGTGATTAGGTCAGTCCAAGGGGAACCATTAGTGGTAGGCCAATGTTAATTGGTATTCAGTTGTATAAGCATGAGCACATCTCATTTCCATGGAGAATATTTGGCCCTGCCCCCTCAGTCATGGTTTATTGACTTTGAAACTTTTGCTTAGTATACATGTATTAGTTTGTGATTAGATCAGTTTAAGATGAATTGCTAATGTTGAGTCAATGATATTTGGTATGCAAATTCATTGGCATTTGCAAGTATCGTATCCATGGAGATTATATAGCCCCACCCCCTCATCATGATTCATTGACTTTGAAACTTTTACATAGTTTACAAGTTAATGTATGTGTATAGGTTTGTTTAAAGGGAACAACTTATAATAAGTCAATGGTATTTGGTATGCAGTTGTATTAGCATTGGCACATCTTATTTCCATGGAGATTGTTTAGCCATGTACCTTCAGTCATGGTTCATCGACTTTGAATATTTGAATAACTTAAATGTTAAAGTATTGCTATTTTAATTTCAACATTTGCATTATCAAAATTACAAAAAGGCGAAACATATCTCTGTGATAGCAGTTTATTTTAATTTTGGTTCATTTATATGTTTCGGAGTTCAGTGTGACATCCATTTCGCTGAACTAGTACACATTTTTGTTTAGGGGCCAGCTGAAGCCCACCTCTGGGCACACAAAAGACGATAATTGTTTTATTCCATATTCTGACAGAAACAATGTAATTAATGGCATTATCTAGCAAAACCAATTGTACATCAAACATTTCACCATAATCATACATGTAAAGGCATGTGACGTTTAGCACAGTAAATATGACTTTTCTTCGTGTGAATATGCTGTGTTATTCAAAATCCAATTCATATAGAAAAACCTACTAAAATAATACAAATAAGTAAATAATCATATATATTGCTCACCAACAGGAAAGTAGTAGTTAAGTTATTTATTTTATTTAAAAGTAGGGTTATTTATATGTCTGAAAATAATGACAGTGGTAGGAAGTAATATATTTCTTTTTCTTTATCTTGTTTGTTAAACATTGCTTTTATTTTTTCGTATTAGTACATGTATTAGAATATATTGAGATTCTGAAATTATATAAGATTAACAGTTGGATAACATACACAGATATCTCACAATTTACAGTAATGTTTGCCTTACAGCACAATTATAGTACATCTAGTTATGGTTCAGCAGGATCTCACACGGACTCACACCATTATAACTCAGGAGTAGGAGTACCAAGAAATTATCCTAACAGACAACCACAAGTAAGTTAATAAACTTCTTATGTTAAAAAAGCTAAGACTATACGGTACAATAAAAAAAAGTAAATATGTGCCAGATAGGTCTGTAAAGCAGTTTTCATATTTCTAAAACACTACTTATTTTGGAATCTGATGATTTTTTATGCCCCACCTACGATTGTAGTAGGGGTATTATGTTTTCTGTTCTGTGCGTTTGTCCGTCTGTCCGTCTGTCCCGCTTCAGCTTAAAGTTTTTGGTCAAGGTAGTTTTTGATGAAGTTGAAGTCCAATCAACTTGAAACTTAGTACACATGTTCCCTATGATATGATCTTTCTAATTTTAATGTCAAATTAGAGTTTTGACCCCAATTTCATGGTCCACTGAACATAGAAAATGATAGTGCGAGTGGGGCATCCGTGTACTATGGACACATTCTTGTTTTAAATAAAACAAATTAATGGATATTTAACGATAGAGCTACAATACATAAATAATTGTAGGTTTCATAACAAGTGAGAATTGGATATTATACATTTATTTCCGGTGCCTGAGGGAGATATGAAGATTTGATCACCCAAGAAAAATCATATTTCCTGAGAGCATCGCCGAGGGTGAACAAATCTTCATCCCTAAGCCAAGGGAAAGTGAACATGACATTAATTTACATAATTGTTTTCTTATCTGCTTCTTTTTTGATAACTTAAACACAACATAAACAATGAAAATCAGTATCGATCAAAAGTTAATTTTTATTCTTTTTTGTTTGTTTTTATTACCCCGCTTTAAAAAAGTGGGGGTATACTGTTTTACCTCTGTCTGTCCGTCCGTCCTTCCATCTGTCCGTCCATCCATCTGTCAGTCGGTCCCATGAATATTTTTCGTCGCATCTTTCTCAGGAACTACATCATAAGGATTTCTGAAATTTGGTTTCAGGGTTTATATAAGTCACATCACATATGTCTGTTGCCATGGATGAAATGTACATAGCCAAATGTAATATTGTCTCATGATGCTGGACAACCAAATCAAATTGACTAATTTTTCGTATCATATGCCGTGCAGTGTGATACGAGAAAGATCTTTTCATGGAAGAAATAGATAACAGGTCACAACCATAAGAGAAACTATACTTTTGTTATGAAGTGGGCATAATTATTTAAATAAACTTAAGTCAGTCAGGAAAAATTTGACTTGGATATTGTGTTAAACATATTTCAACAATCATACCCAAACATTTTTTCAGGTGCAATACAACCCAGGTAATCCTAGGAGAACTACAATACCTCAGCCATCAGGAAGTAGAGGTGGTCCTCCTCCTCCTATTCCAGAGGAGATAAGACCTCACCACCACTCACCTGCCTCCAACCATTCAGGAGGAGATAAAGAGAAGTAAAAAAGTTTCCTCAGCCAGTAGTATTATATTTTATGACTATCCACAAGTACTACTGGTTCTTTGACTATGGTATACCAGAGGACACAAGACAATAACCTTAATTGGGATAAAGGACGAACAATGATAATCCATTAGTACATGACAAAATGCTCTTATGAAAGTTTCATTTTAAAAGTCTTCCAGCGAATCCCTTCATGCTTATTTTACAATATTTATAAAGAGATTTGACCAATGTAGGATTCAGTACCATTCATAACCAAGTGATTGCAAGAAAGACAAGATGTATCAAAATTTATTTCACATCTTTATTAATCTTAGGAATTCCTCATCAAACAGTGTCAAATCTCAGGCACAGCTTATAACTAGTATGTTTTGGTAGAAACTTTATATTTGCATTTGAATTCTTATTATGATATAGTGATGTCCAATATTTTAGATATTCTCTTATTATACCCCACGCAACCAGTTGCGGAGGGTATAATGTTTTTGACCCGTCCGTCAGTCCGTCAGTCCTGTTTCTTGTCATCGCAACTCCTCTCAAACCACACAACAGAATTTCACGAAACCTTTTTAGATAATAAGGACATACTATGTAGTTGTGCATATCGACAGGAAATTACGATTCAAATCTTTTTCTAGGAGTTACGCCCCTTTGAACTTATTTACTTTAATGTACTACTGCAACAGTTTGTCATCGCAACTCCTCTCAAACCACACAACAGAATTTCATGAAACCTTTTCAGATAATAAGGACATACTACGTAGATGTGCATATCGACAATTACGATTCAATTTTTTTTCCAGGAGTTACGCCCCTTTGAACTTATTTGCCCAATATACTACTGCAACCTTTTGTCATCGCAACTCCTCTCAAACCACACAACAGAATTTCATGAAACCTTTTCAGATAATAAGGACATACTACGTAGATGTTCATATCAACAGGAAATTACGATTCAATTTTTTTTCCAGGAGTTACGCCCCTTTGAACTTATTTGCCCAATATACTACCGCAACCTTTTGTCATCGCAATTCCTCTCAAACCACACAATAGAATTTCATGAAACTGTGTAGATAATAAGGACATACTATGTAGATGTGCATATTGACAGGAAATAATGATTCAATTTTTTTTTCTTACACTTATTTTATTTCTCCAATAACAATGTGGGGACGTGGGGTATGTGAGCGCGCTCACTAAGGTTCTTTAATTTGACCAGAATTTTCATCATGGTACGTTTACCTTAATTTCAATAAGCATCACTAATTCAAAATGAGTGTCAACAATAAAAGTCATCTAACATGTCTAACAAAAGACTTATGGGAAAATAACAAATAAAGGTAATTTCCATTAAATTTCAGAGACAATTTCCCCCAGACTAGGCCTGAATCATTCTGACATTAAACAAAGGGATATGCTTTACATTTATAATAAATTTATTATTTTCTCCTTTCAGTGACCCACCTTTAGACCCAAAGTATTTACAGAAAAGTGATGAAGCAATACACATCAGAGGACTAGGACCTAGGACACATTCTCCTCCTACAATATCTAGCTCTGCTCCAAATCTGAACTCTGTCCGACTAAGTCAGCAGGGTATTGTACCAAGGACTACACAACCTCCTCTTGCCTCAGCTTATTTTCCAGGACAAAAAATGTCTTGATGTTTAAAAGATATTTTTTAGGAAAACTTTATAAAATATCAATTTTGCCAGTGTCTAACACAATCAACTCTAGTCTGTTCAGAACACTGACTAGATTAGACACTAGATTTCTGCAACAGTTGACATCTTGCAGAATAGCAAAGAATTCGACCCTCCACTTCATATGCATCTATTCATAAGCTCTAATAATATGTTCTAGTGTCATTTGAAGAGGATATGTTTAATGAAATATTGTTATTTTGTGTGAAACAACAACAAAGTTAATTCATGAATGTTAATAAACCTAGCTTGTTTAACTATATGCTGTAGCTAAACTTTCTGAAGTACCTCTAAATATGTTGCATGGTATAAGACCTTTCCCAGTAAAAAATATAAAAAGCATTGGTGTTGAAAGACACCAAAAATAAATAATGTATAGTTGGTTAGGGTTTTGATGACATACATTGTTGATTACTATCTGGTGGCGACTACAGCATGAATTATTTGAATAAAGCTTTATATTTCAGAAGGTAGAATGACCTAGATACTTCACACCTTGGATGAAGATGCGTTATGTTTACAAAATTTCTGTCTGTCATATGCCCATTGTCCTTATTTTCATGGTTCAGTGATTGCTTGAAAAAAAATGTATAATTTTTTTTGTTTTGTGAAATACTCGCTTATTATGATTAATAGGATAACTATATTTAGTATATAGGATCCTTGAAAGGTCGGAATGTCCATCAGACAGGGTTCACCTGACCTCAATTTTATTTCATGGATCACTGATCAAGATAAAGTTTTTTGTGGTCACGTCCCTATCTCAGATACTATTAACTATATTTTGTGTATGAAATAATTGTAAGGTGTACAGTAGGTCTGGCAGGTTTCATCTATCCTTGACCGAATTTTCATGGTTGATTGATCAATGTTAAGTTCTTTGTGGTATCTCAGATTCTATAAGCAATAGATCAGCTGTTGGTGTATGGAATGATTGTAAGGTTTACATGTCTGTCTAGTAGGGTTCATCTGACCTTGACCTTATTTTCATGGATCATTGAAAATGATAAGTTTATGTGATTCAGGTATTAAAACCTTCCTGTTACAGACTTTCAACATAAATTCAAGCACTCTTGTTTTAATCTGGTGAAAATACATTTTGTGTACTTAATATCAAATAAATTCTTTAGAAGTTATGACCCCTTAGTCATTCATGATTTATTTTGTAACATCAGTTTTATGATAATTTTTCATTATTTAACAGTTTTTAGCATAAATAACTTAGGCCACAATCCGTGAATCCGAAAATTATTGTGTCTAGGGATTCATTATAAACTTTGAACATTTTAGAGCCAATGTTTTACTGAAGCTTTTAGGTCTGAAAAATGCTGAAAACAATGGTGTTTTGGCATCATCTTAAAAATGTGATGACTTTGGAGTCTATAATGGACTCTTATGAAGAGATTGGTTTTACTAAGCATTAAGGCATTGAAATACATTTAAGAACTTAAGTGTGGCCTTTTTGATATTTATGATGAAGATGAAATTCAAGCTATATTTTGGAAAAAGTGAACCTTATCCTTTACAAAGTTGGTGGATATAAGAAACAGTGTCTTCCAAACTCTACATTTTCATTTTATAGCCATAAGCAATTTTGTTTCTATAAATGGATAAACATATTTTTTATGAAAAATTCCAACCATTTCATACTGTGTAGCATCACCACCTGATAAAGGTACCCCAAAGCGGTGGAAAAACAAATTTGAAGTCAGGTAAGGTCAAATTCTACTTATTTTCATTATATTCTACATTTTGCTGACAAGTAAAGTTTTGGGATAGTGATTCCTAATAACGTAGCTACTATTTAGGGCTGATAATGATCCTTTATTGACTCTCTCTCTCTTCAAATTGTCAGAATCAGATAAGGTGGTACCTGATAAACGAAGCATGTGACAAGTTCAAACTTGTTAAAAACACATCTATCCAACTATTCATTTGACATTTTTGTAGAACAAAGGTATATCATATTTCAGCTTGAACAACACTATTTCGAAAATAAACTATTGTTTACACAGAGAAATTCCTTCAAATAAAGCGGATAAATTGTTTGGCGAATAGTTTACTGTACAGGGATTAGAATAGGTTCTTTTTCTATCATTGTTTCTTTGCTTTGGGAGTACCTATATCTGGTGGTGATGCTACACAGTGATACTCCTAGGGTTTCAGTCATTCCCAATCCACACTAACATTTAAAACCTTACCAGGGTAAAATAACTATAGGACAAACATTATATTTTAGTGGTATTTCTTCTTCTCGTTCATGTTCTCATACTATTTTGTCTTCGCCAAAACCTTTTTGAACCTTTGACATTTACATAATATTTTGCATGAAGGTGTCTTACCATAAGACGGCATGTTGCATATCATGATAACCTTCATATGACTTTGTAGTTCACTATTTGTTTTGTCCCCAGGAGCCTGTCCCCTTCATATTAATTGAGAAACACTCTTCAAATCTGTTCAGATCCCCACCCCTTAACCATTTATATTTTAAACTTCCATTGCACGATAGGTTTTGCTCCTGGGGTCATGCCCCTGCCCCTCTCACATCATGATTTTTTTTACATGTCTCTTCTTCTGTTCAAAACTGTATCCTTTAAATGGTCCATATTTGAAATTGCCATGATAAGACCTTTCTACTCCTTTATATATCTTTTTGGTGGTGGTGGGAAGGGGAGAAGGGGTGTAGAGTGTTATATATATCAAAAACCATCAAGATGACCACCAATTAACCACATATGTTCTTATTTGCCATGACAGTATTAGAATGTGTGTGTTGTGCATTTCATTTACATAAGTGACTTCTATACATGCTATAGATGAATGGGAGACACATTATAGTCCACTGAAATATTTGCAGCTAGTTTTCTGTTGAATTATTTGATGTGAATAGTGGCCTTTTTACACATTTGGATGTATTTTAGAAAAAAAATTAACAAGGTTTTTTTAGGTACCTTCCCAACAACTTGACAACCAAACTTTGATTTATGACATTGAATTTTACACAGAAGATAACATTTTATCACTCCATGCACCTGCTCTATGTATTGATGATATTTCTATTGAAATAGTAATTTATATCATTATCTTTGCTCAGGTTGAATTGCCATTGTAAATCTTATAAAGAAAAAGACCTCTATCCTTGTTTAGAGTGCACAAAGTGCACTGAATTTTATTTTTCTATATTTCGGAGATGGACCATGAAACTAATATTACCTACTTTAGGATTTACAGCCATTATTGTCAAATCATGGAAATGTTCAGAAAAGGATTCCTGTAGAACTAGTCTGACGAGATATTATTTCCACATTTACGAATGCTAATAAAGAATTAATGGTTCAACTAACAAATAAGCAAACTTAACTTGTATGCTGATGACACACTTGTTGAACTGTTATAAGATATAATCCCAAAATTTATTGGTCAGTAAAACAAGTGTTATCTATCAAGTTCATGTGCAATTCGATTCATAGAAATATGTCTTTTGAAATAAAATAGTAATGGGTGAGGTTATTTAGATATGTTTATTACATCATTAACAATATTTGTTAAAGATTATTGAGCGTAATTACTGACTTGTTGACTGGATACTGCACTTAAATAAAAAATTGTACAGAATTGTAAATCCATGTATTAAATATTTATATAAAATAATATATAATAATAAATTCATAAACCAACTGAAATTTTGTAGTATTGATAAAATCAATGAAGAGAGAAAAAAGACAACAAAAAGCCTTATTGTGTTTTGTGCTTTTGTTTTATGTCATTCACATTGTATTGGAATACAGATGTTAATATTGACAAGATTTTAGTTAACCTGGTCAAAGAGCTGTTGCCATCTTTATTAAATATCATGTGTGGCAACCAACCATCCTTCATACAATACTATAAATAGAACATTTAAGGACAAAAAAACTTGTTAACATTTGTTTCGATGGAATTACTTTAACCAAATGTGAAATGTTCCTGTGTCGGCCCCCTTTTGGAATCAGGTAAGATATATAGATATTACTAGATTTTACCGGTACTGACACCAAGCCTTAATTGGTTGCAGAGTTACTAGTTACATTGGTCAGTTTAGCACGATCTTATAGGCAAATTTGAAATGATAATCAGTCTTTCTTTAAAAAGCTTGACAAATTTAGCCTGAATCCTACGGGTCTAAACTGTTGATGAATCATCCTGTCACATTAAAACAAGAAAAGAATAAACTTCTCGAATGGAAATCACAATGCTAAAATTTAGTTAAACAAAATCCACAAAAAAATGAATTTTGGGGTATTCATGTTAAAGTGAATGACAATCTAAACCAAAATCCAAGTTCTGTTAATAAAGGTTCATCAGAAGGAATTAACACATGGCCATGTTTTTATGTTTCAGAAAATTAAAAAGTTACCTGGATTTTGAAATTTCTTTTTTTTACAAACCTGCAAAATATTGTAAATAACGAAACACCTGAATTGCATTTGATACGTCCATTCATTTACATATTGTTGTGCAGATATCTATTGTCCATTTCAACATTACAACTCACTACAATTATTACATAAGGGAACATCTCTTACATTTTTCCCAACTAAGTTTATTTTGGAACCTGTGAAAAAAAGGAATTTCAAAATCCGGGAAAGTTATTATTTTTTTAAAACAAAATGCATTTAAAATTTATTTCTATGATCAGCAATGTGTATGGCTGAATTACATTTTAATTTTATTAAAATTGGTAAAAATGGTTTAAAATCTTTCAGCATATAACTTTATTCACATTTCACTAGGTTTAAAATGAATACCAAAATGTATTATTGCTTGATTAACGTCCAGTGACAAATATTTCATGCATATTCAGGACAAGAACACATTTACAATGCGATTACTTCGGCAAAGTGGATTGAAGGGCTATAATTTTGGGCTGCTGCTGGCAAGTAAAGATAAGTTGGGTAGGGATAGAAATGTTGTCTTACAAATAGGCTAACTATGGACCCTTATAGGGTTATTGCAAGGCTTCTTTAACGGGCAAAAAGTGGACTATTTACTTTAGACGAGGCATCAGATTTAACATCCAGATTTCGACCGTCAATGCCTATGCATTTATTCTTTCAGCAAGACCAAACTAACCACCCTAACAAGTATGAGTTTTACTGTTTAGATAGAAGTATAGTTATCCATATTTCTTTTATTCTTTGGGTACCAGAATTATCCTACGAGTGAAAAAAAACAACAGTAAGTTAACAATACCTTTTCTGGCAGCATGAGTGATAACGATATTTACTTCTGAAATTGAAAGCCTGTAGGAACTAAATTTAGGTACAAGAGAAAAGTTGTGTGTCACTTATCCTTTCCTGGTTGTGTTCAATAATTCACATCCCATCAAGCGTAATGCTATTATTACTATAATCTTTGAACAACTTCAAGGCAAATAAGAAGTAAATTTGTACGTTTGTAATAAGTTCTTTAATTAAGTAAGTAGTTCTCGTAATTGAGATTTGATGTATAATATAGGGTTAATACCCTCAAGTCCGGTCTGCCCATTTTTATACGCCCGTTTACGGGATGTATTATGGTATACCGTTGACCGTCTGTCCCTCCGTCGTCAACATGTCGGACATTAATTCAAAAACGCTTAAACCAATATGCATGAAACTTTGGTGAATTGTTTATATCTATTGACGTGAGCTCCCTTTCGTTTTTTTTTTTTTATAAATTTCGGATTAACCGTTTCCGAGTTTTGGGGTTTTATTCATTAAAAAAAGGGGTGATTTTCCAGTTTTCGGACAATAACTCAAAAACAATTTCACCAATTTGCATGAAACTTTTGTGAATTGTTTATATCTATTGACGTGAGCTCCATTTCGTTTTTTTTTTTATAAATTTCGGATTTACTGTTTCCGAGTTTTGGGGTTTTATTCATTAAAAAAGGGGGATTTTCCAGTTTTCGGACAATAACTTAAAAACAATTTCATCAATTTGCAAGAAACTTTGATGAATTGTTTATTTCTATCGACATGGGCTCCCTTTTGATTTTTATAAATTTTAGACTATACGTTATATGGGGTTTTATTCATTACAAAAAGGGGGATTTTCCAGTTTTCGGACAATAACTCAAAAATGCTTTCAGCATTTTTTATGAAACTTTGGTAAATTGTTTATATCTATTTTTGTAAGCTCCCTTTTGATTTTTATAAATTTTCAAATGTAGGTTTCCAAGTTATAAGATTTTATTTGTTTATAGTCTGACAACAGATTTACTAAGCATTGTGGAACAGCACAGTGTATTGCACAACAGCAAGAAATCTTTCATTGAATATAAGCTTCTTTGACTACATTTATTCAGAAACCTATAATATGTCAAATATTTAACTACAATCCAAATTCAGACCTGTATCAAGCTTGAATATTGTGTCCATTTTTGCCCCAACTGTTCCGGGTTGGACCTCTGCGGGCGTATCCAGCTGCGCTCAGCGAAGCAGTTTATTCAACCCGATCAGATCCAGATAATTTATCCCATGCATGTCACTGTATTCACACTCTCTGAAATTATGCATACACTTTCTTTTAAAATACTTCCGTAAAATTCCGTTTACGATTCATGATTAATATGCTGTATCTAAGTAAGTACTCGCAACC